AAAAAAAGAAAACCAAATGGATTATATAATATGTCCACAAGGTTCTTATATAAAAAATAGAGAGTAAATATGTTTGGGAAGTGTGTTGGTTTTGGAGTTAGTGGGAGGAACCGGTTAGTGTTGATAACCGGAAGAATTCATGATTAGGGTTGTGTGATGAGTTGAGTTGATCTATATTGAGCCACTTAGCCTAAATTTATCCTTTGAGGCTGTACATTGGTGTGCCTCCTTGCTGCCCTACCCAAGCTGATTGGATTATCTCACCCACCCCTTCTCTGCTCAGCCACCTTTTGTCTAGCTGAAATCTTCCCTTCTTCAGCTGGCTGTCAGGAGCTTCCTCTAATATTAACATATGATGGTCTGATGAGCTCTTGAACAAAGCAGTAGTTTGAGTCATGGGGAACTCAGCACTCCAACCCAAAGAAACATAAGCTTTATCTAGTGCCTCCTCCACAAACCCCTCATTCTCTCTGTTATTGCCCCATGTATAGTGGTATCCCTTTCTGATCACCTCTTCCATCCCCATATCAGCAATGAAATTTTGGAATCCCCTCATGCTGGCTTGAGTTCTCTGTCTGCCTCCTCTTTTATCCTCCATTTTAGTAACATCATTCCAATCACCAATCATACACCATCTGTCTCCCCATTTGTCCTTCTTCAGCTATAGTTCACTCCATTGAGTTTCTCTAGTCCCTCTATCTGGGCTTAAATAGACAAAGACTACCCATCTAAAGCTGTCATTACTATTAGTTCTGAATTCAACCTCAATGTTGTAGCCATCATAGAACAACTGCCTGATCTCAACCTCAGGAACCCATGTTAGCAACAATCCTCCACTTAGCCCTCTTGGAGCCACCATTAAATTTCTATCAGCAAATCCCAAATTTTTGCAAACGGTCATAGTAAACTTATTAGTGTTTTTAGTTTCTGACAGGAAAATAAAATGTGGGTGATGGAGTCTAAGGGACTCCTTGAGCTGGGGAATTGTAGAGGCCCCACCTAGGCCTCTACAATTCCACACCAGAGCTCTCATTGTTCACCTTGGGGCCAATTGAGGCTGGCCTTCTCCACCTTCTTTGGACTGCTCTTTGCTTTCTTAGGAACCGCTTCTTCCACCAAGTTCTCCTCCTCCACTGTTATTGTAACGCCCTGTTTTATTTTAAAGAATTTACCGAATTTATTTAATAAAAATCAGAGTTATTTTTTTTAAAAAAAAAAAAATCCATGTTAAAACATTTATCGAGAAACGGGTGCTACTTATTAAACACAACAAATAAACACACTCAATCAATCAATCCAATGAACCTACACATGCTCGAGCTATCAAAATGACACTCTCATAAATCATAAATTTTAAAATCATTCTCAAACGACTAGCATGAAATCAAGGTTCAACCGAAATTCAACATAGTTCGAAAGAGAAGAAATAAATAATCCAAATCGACGGAAGCATTAACAATCCAAAATAAAAGCAAGTAGTTTAACATAAATAAAATCAAGCGGAAACAAAAGACACATCCAGCAAATGACCACCATCTCGCTCGTCTTTACGCCACCGCCTCCAGCTCGTCTCAACCTAAAACAAAGGAAGAGAAGACACAACAAAGAAAAATAATAGGGGTGAGCATAACCAACAAGCTCACCATTATCGCACAGTTTATCTCGCATAACATTTTCAACCATCAAACCATAGTATTCAGTATGCATAGAATCCAACAGTCTAACTCCCTACTTGGCCCTATCGCAAACCTCCTATGTACATACCACAACCTTTCGATCACACACGACAAGAAAGTAACTGGAAACCTTCCCATCACCAAATGGCTACGGGCTTGGGATCCTTTCCAGAAGATAGTAGAGATGTTTTTCCCATTTACGAATATCATACGGACTTGGGCGTCACCTCTCCGAATCTACGGGCCGATGACCTCTCACTGTTTATGCATTCATCAAAGGCACTAACATACGGGACACTTAGACTAGGGTTCTCACGCATACATCATTTTCAAACAAAGCATTTATACGAAATATTAAGTGCGATAAATATGGAATACATCATAAATGTACCCACCTGGTTACCGAAGTAGCAAAAAGCATAAAAAAAGCTGAAGAACGTAGGTCAAGGGTTCGACTCCTCAAACCTAAAAACGAGGAATTTAATTATTATGAAGGGTTTTGGTTGAGGTTGACTAGGCCACATAAGCAAGTAAAGCACACTTCAACTACTGGACCGCATCAAAAGGCTCAACACCAAATATAATCAATCAAAGCTCAAAAACAATAAGTCGAACTTATAATATACATAAGGTACAACACATAAGCATTCAATCAAAGCCTTCAAAACACATGACATAGCCTTCTCTTATCTCTTGTTTAAGAAAATAAAAGTCATAATGCCTTAACTAAGCATAAAAACACTCCCAAATGCATACATACCAGCAATGCTAAACATAAAGCCCAGGCTCAAAGTAAATCAAATAACAGAACATATACCTTTCCCATTTTCACATCATAAAAAAAAATTAAAATTAAGGTTTTAACACCAAAATGAAGGCTATGAATAATTGAGATACATTACTCTAAAAAAATTATCTCTCTACAGCATAGATAAATTATCATCCACTCAGCTTAACCTTAATTCTATAAACCACAACAACCGAAGTTTAAATCCATTGTCAACACATAACAGGAAAAATATTCATACACACAACAACACATCTTATTTCTTTCTCAAACACTTGCCATTTTTTTTTAAATTGAGATATAAAATGGTTAAAAGAAAACTTCACTTCAGCAACATACTCATCAACTGGCTCAGCATATATCACATTACAGCTTACAAAATAGCACATTAACTCAGCACCCAAGTTATAACAAAAACACATAAAATAAAAAGGCACCAAAACAACAAGTACATACTTTCGGCCCATAAGACTTCTCATAAAGGCTCATAGCAGCTCCCTTAAACTCATGAATCACCTCAACAGATATCGGCACAAAATTGCACATCATATCAGCCCGTAAAACTAACATCAGAGGTTCAACAATTCACAGTAAAGCAGGCTTTAACTTGCACATAAAAATTAAAACTAGGCACATTAAAAACACCACTAACTCGACCAAGACCAAAGGCATATGTTTCAGCCATTAATACCTCTAGTCAGAAATATTCGTCGCTCTCTTTTGTCCCCGCCCGTCATTTCCACTGATGAGGGCCTAAGTCGACAGCTTTTTGAATCTACGTGCACCGTGGGCGGCCGGGTGTGCCGTTTTGTTATTAATTCCGGGTCATGCGAGAACGTGATATCTAACGAGGCTATGGCGAAGCTTGGATTATCGTCGCCGCCGCATCCGGATCCTTATGCTCTCGCGTGGATACGGCGTGGCGACGTTGTCCCCGTTAATAGGCGTGTGTTGGTGTCTTTCTCTATTGGCTCTGCATATATGGATGAGGTGTGGCGTGATTTCGTGCCTATAGATGATTGGCATCTTTTATTAGGACGCCCGTGGCAGTTTGATCGTGCCGTGGTTAATGATGGGCGCCTTAACACGTATGGATTTCTGTTTGAGGGCAACCGCGTTGTCTTACATCCCTCGGCTCCCCGGTCGGTTCTTTTGCAACAAACGTCACCGACATTGTTTCTTTCTCGGGATGGGCCGCGTGGAGACATGGTTGGAGCAGTGGACACTCGTTCTGTGGTATTTGACATGGGCGATGACGGCTCAGACAGAGACGAGATCGATTTGGATTCGAGGGTGAATCCTTCTCAACTGGGGGAGGATGATGGAGACGAGATCGCCCTCGCGTTCCTCGATAAATATGATCGGATGCCGTTGCTTAATTAATTATTTTATTACCTATTTCCTTATTATAATTAGATTTCCATATTCATGTTATTTAGAGTTAGGAAAATAATTATGTGGTTTTATCTTATTTAGCAAATTTAGGTTTGTGGAGAGTCTAAGATTATATATATATGTATTCTCTTCAGTATCAGACGGTGAATGAATTTGAGTTTTTCTGATTTTGCGAGTTCTTCACGAGAGAGTATCTCGTATCTTTCCCGTTCTTATTCACGTTCTACATCAGTTTCCAAAATGAGCTGTGAATTTCAAAAATTAGCTTTTCGCCAATTTTCATGTATATGTGCCTTATGTGACTTAATCTGATTAGTATTATAACGTTGGCTAGAAAACACTTGCGAGAGAAGCTTTACACTAAGATCTTGAAGTGTGAAAGTTATAAGTTGTATTTGTGGTCGATCTAGTTTAGGACCGCCGGCACAATTAGCTACCTGAGTAAAAGTTGTCGTGACGGCCGACATTGTTAGTCGGAAGGGTCAAGCGAGCTAACCATTCTAATGTTCGGCAATGACCGCCGATGTTAGGATTTTTCCGGGCAGTGATGCCAATGTTCAATTCCTACGGGAAATTGTAGCTGATCAGTATATCTTAAACTGCTGTAGTTTGGTAAGTCTTGTAAGGAAACCTTTTCTTATCTGAGTACCTAGGAGATTATGAACCCGAAAATTAAAATTTCTGGTATGTACTTTAAATTGAACGCCGAACCTGGATTGGTGCAGCCACGCGAAGTGGTGGCCGAGCCCGCACGCTCGTGCTGAGAGACGTGAGGCCAACTGCAGTGGCCGACCGTTGACTTGCACGAGAGCTGCCGCCGCCATCACCAAACGCAGAAACTCCCCAGTCAGTGTGAACGGCCAAAAAAAGAAGAAGGAACCGTCTAAAAAAAGAATTTTCTTCGGTCGTTTTCTAAGCTCAGAAGGAACCGTCTAAAAAAAGAATTTCATTATGCAAACCGAAAACTTAACATTAATGCAACGAACATTTTGAATGAATCTAGGACAAGTCTAAACCTTAAAGGGTTCTCCAAGGAAAAGAAGAAGCAAATGGCTACCTTCTAGTATTCACCTCCCACGACCTCATTAATAATAAAAGGAACAAAGTATATGAACGAAGCTTGTCAGAGTAGCAAAACGTACCAATGATATCATTTGCGTGGGGTAAATTGTCCTTGTCCTTGTCTTCTGGATTGTCCTAGCCCTATTATGAACATACAACCCAAATTTGTTGACAAGTTAACCACGACCTCATCTAGTGTCTGCTGGTCTTTACTACTAAATCGTCCTTGTCGTCTGGATTGAAGTCGCTGTTCAACTAGCCTTAGCAAATTGTTTGGTTTTACAATCTATTTGGCCTCTTCTTCTTCATTACGAGTCTGCGGTCGTCACTATATTCAGAATGATTCAGTATTTGTTAAAAGGAAAGAGGACGCAGAACAGGAAAAAGGCAAAACAAATCATGATTAACAGAAGCAAATACAGAAACAGAAATACATGAAGCAAAGTTAAAATTGAGTCTACCAACAAAGGTGCCACTAATCAAACAAATAGTCCTTTACATTCTCACAAATTTACTATAGAAGAAAAGGCTATGCGTGCATTGATCTTCACAACATTGCCCGGAATATGGCTACAAATGGACTGAAAATACAAGAAGATTCATTAATTTCACACTTCAAATTCCATCCCACAAACAAGGCAAACAGAAGAATTCATTGGCAATAATTAACCAAATCATTTGTCGGCGCTTAAAATAATAACCTCCGAATTTCGAAACACTAATAAGTAAAGACTTCAGCTTTCGAAATCAGAAAAGAAATGAATACCCCATACGAGATAAAAATTGGAAAAAACACAGTACCCATAAATCTAAAAGCGAGATTCATAAAAGAACGAAAACGATGTTACCTTTGATCAGTAAATTGGAGGTAACGGGTGTCCAAAAATTTTATAAAACCCTGATTTCTGATGAGCTTCTTCCAACCTTGTCCGTAAAGTAGGAGGGCTGCAAATGAACCGAGTCGAACATTGACTGTATCAAGCAAGTATTGATTTTTTTTTAGCTGCTCAGCTCGAGCTCCAGATCGAGCTCGATTTATGAGGCTCGAGATTGACTCAAATACAATCGCTCAAGCTCGGCTCAAAATTTTTCAAGTAAGTTTTTCCTCAAAAATATTAATTATTCATTGACACCAAGTAGATTTTTCCACAAATGCAGAAAATATGATTCTGGAAAAAAACAATTGAGATAGGCCGGATACAATTTGATATAGGCCGGATATGTTTAGTCACTTTAACAATTTTTAATGCTAGAGCAAAATCATTTACAATAGAAACAAGACTGAAGAATTCCCCACCACAAGGACATACAAATTCTAGGCAACTAAAAAGTTATTTTATATTCCTCACAGCAAACAAAAAGGAAACTGACACAGAATTAATATACATAGCAGATGGTTTATGGGGTAAGAAAGCAGAATATAAGGACAATGATCGAAATTGGTTTGTCTCAGCAAACAGATAGAGGGAACTTACATGTCTTCGAGCGTGACAAGTAGTTCTTCTCGCCGACTGCAAGTTGCTTCTACAGAACAAATACGAGGACGACCATGAATTGAGCACGGAGAAGAGGAAGATAATTTGGGCCGAAGGTAATCTCCGACCGCGGGTTGCGGGATTTTTCAACTTCTTTTCAATTTTACTATAGGCCGAAGGTTAATCTCATAGCGCTTGCGGCTTGCGGGACATGAAACTGGAAAAGTAGGGTTCTATACTATAGTTTCGGAGGGAGAAAGAAATTGGGTGTGAAATTTTGGTTTGTGGGATGAATTGTGAACATTTCAACTTTCAAGTAAACTATTAGAGCCCGTTTGGTTGCCAAAAATTATTGGGCTTGATAGTATCAAAAATGCTAGGCCCACATTATCTAATGGTTTTTATCTCCCTCATTACAATGTTTAGTTGCATTTTTCGGGCTTCAAATAAGTAAAGGATACAATTAATAAAATGTGTGGTTCAGCATGATATGTTTGTAACTTGTAAATTGTAGCAACAAATTGTCTTCCATTTCCATTTTTGCCCATTTGCTCTTTGCCAAAAAATACTCCCCGACGATAGTTTAACGCAGGCCATCGACCTCGACATCCTTTACTCCGGCGTCCCGTCTATCTTCCTCGACGTCTATTCCTATTTTCCGGCAAGTCTTCGTAAGGTGAGCCTTTCGACGCTAACCAATTTGTATTGGTAACATCTATCATACCAACAAATTTAAATTTGTAATCCAATTTTAGGGCTACCGAAACATGATTATTGGTTCTCCAATTTTTAGGGCATTTTGACGAGAAGAAAATTCCATTTGTATGTTCCCAAAATTTTGTAATGTTTGACGGGATGTTGAACATATTTTCAATTGAACGTTAACAATTATTTCTTACATTGACAACCTAAGCATTTAGAGCCGTTTGGTCGGATATGAAACCAGAGCTGCGTTTAAATCTTGTTGAAACCAATTTACTATGGTTTTTGTTTTGGAATCCATAAGTGCTGTGTTTTTTGTCAAAAAACCCCCAATTTTCACTCGGCTAATGAATTGTGTATACCTTATGTAGTTGTTTAGGTAAAACATGGAAGTGTCAAAGCCCCAAACGCGGAATGATGCAATTGCAAAGCTATTTTGCTATGACGGTTGGAACAATGCTGAGGACGAATTCCTCTTCCAAAAATTGGAACATGCTGCTCAGAGTATACCAGTGAGTGAGGTTGGGATGTTTAATACATATCTGTGGTTCATATCGGGTGACTTAACCGAAAATTTTAGAAAGCCGTTCACCACTCCGATGGTGAAACGCAGAGTGCAGAGATTTAGGGACGAGTACAACTCCTTTGTTCAGTGGACCAAAACACCCGGAGTCTATCAAAATGTGAAGAGAAATGTTGTCATTATTGACAGATTGTACTGGCAACATACAAGCAATGTAATATAAGGCTAAGGCTTTCTATACATTCGTTTGTTTTTGCATACCAGTGTGTATATGCTCTGTATACATAAATCGTTATTCTGAATTTTCAATGCAGGAACCCAAAGAATGGCGATATTTCAGAACTAATGGGATGAAGCATTTTCCTACTGCACATTTGTTGTTCTACACCAAAAATGCAGCTCCAGTTGACTTCAATGATTTTCTTCAACGTAGACATTAATGAATCATTACATTGTGAAGAGAAGAGTTGTTTTTGATGATGAAAACAAGTAGACGTCTGCCAGTTGTATGTTAATTCTGTGGATAGTTCTTGTTTGTGGAAACATTTGGACAATTGATGGCTGTTTGTAACATTTCATTGTACCAGGATCATATATTTTTTTTCATAATAAGGAAGTCATTTCATGTATATGCTTCTATGGCCAATTTTGTATTGATGGTTTTTTCTCTGAGTTTGTTGCTTTACAATGGAAGAAGAAATATTTACAGGTTACTAATAATGCCATTAAAAAAAACAGGAAGGTTACACATAGTAAACAAGAAAACACACAGTGAACACCAAACTACTTTTTCAGATTTCAACACAAGCTTGCAAACACATATGTTTAACAAATACAAATTGTCCACACACTGTACAACGTTGCAAACACATTACTCCAACAACTACATATTGTTCCAAAGCCATGCCATTATAAACTACAAATTGTTCAAACACATTAAATTGTCATAATTTTCAACTTCTACAGCCCCTTTCAATTGTTACTTGTCTTAACATGCCATATCATAAGAAAGCAGCACAACAGCATAAATATAAAAAGCCTCCTCTCATGGGTTCTTTTCTCATGGACTGCTGCTAAATTTTGTTCAAGGTCCAAAATTGTTTGCTTCAAGAACTTCACTTTTTCTGTTTTTTTTTTTCTATTTTGGAGTTGAGAAAATTGGAAGGCCATTCTTTACTCTTGATTTGTTCCTCCAACTGTAATTTCTCATGCTTCAACTTCAGGACACATGCCTTTTGGTAGGCCGGTATTTCCTCATCAAACCACTCAAAGAACCTACAATCATTAGTCTAACCAAAAAAACTTGAGGGAATATTTTTTTTTGTGATGGAGAATAATTTTCAATAAGTAAACTCACATAGAAGATAATTACTTACATATCTTTGAGCACACCGGTAGTACCTTCTAAAGGGATTCTTGTCAGTTTTCGATGTCAACAAGTGAGCTTCTTCGAGGTGGCGACACAACCTTTTTGGTGGTTCTTCATATCGTGTGGTATTACCTGTGGAGCTTCCCATGGCCGCCGAGGAAGATGATCTACCAGACATCTTCTTCAGGGTTCTAAATTACTATGGTAGCTTATGTAAAATGAAAAGGATATGGTAGAATATTTGAACAAGTGTCCGTTCATCACTAGAGGTCGAACTCCAAATCAACTTTGGATTTCTTTATGTCAGCAACAGCCAAACTCCAAAAACGTGTATTCATTGGGATTTACAAGGTTTCATGAAATATGTTAGATTCTTCAAAGTAAAGGTTTTTGTCCACAATACCAAATTGGGGTTGGAGAATATATTCTTCTCAGTCCATTCACGCGTCAATCAATCATCAGAACCTGTTTTTAAGGAATGAGAATATATTCCCCTATATTTAGCCACTTTGAGAAATATGGAATATGTTCCAATAATCTTGAACATGATTAATCACATATTCGATGTCATAGGTGAGGCCAAGGCTTTGTCACGTGAGAAAAAAAGATTCCAACATCTATCTATAAACGAAGTACGAGAATGTGGTATGTGGAATAAGCATCCCTACATTTAACTCTTCGCAAATTTTCTTCTTAAACATAATAACAACACATCATTATCGTAATGGCTCCTAACGGGAAACCAAAACGTTCTATTTCCCAGAACAAGGTCTTTTACAATGGCGAATGGACGAGAGAAGTTGAAAAAAGGTTCATCAACGAGTTGGTCGACCAAGCTGCAGCAGGCCATTTTGAGGTGGGCAATCCAAACCATCATGCTACGCTTATGGCAATGAGTGTTGTCAATGAGGTGTACAGTAAGAGCTTCGATTTGGAATTTTGTCGAGGAAAAATTCGTAAGCTCCACAAGCGCTATCAAGTGTTTAAATGGATAACCCAACAAAGTGGCGTGATATATACACCCACAGAGCATAAGGTGCACGCAACTGAGGATACATGGGAACACATCATTCGTGTAAGTCATTTATATTTTGCCTCAGAACTGCATTATAAAGACATTCCACTGATTGTACATGTATAATAGAATTTTTATGTTTGCTGCAGCATGAGAAGCTCGCGATGGCCTACATCGATGAAGGTGAAACCTGTTTCGACGACCTAAAAAGGTTGTTCGGAAATGGTCCGGACTCAGACAATGACCATGAGCCACACGAGGTCATTGTTATTTCGGACGACGACACTAATGTTGATGGAGACGGTGAGGACGAAGTTGTTGTAGGAGAAGAGGGTAGTGTTGGTAACCCCCATTTGGCTCTTCAGAATGATTCCGATAACACAAATAACTGTTTTCATTATGATCTTGCTTGGTATAATTCCGATACCACAAGTGTGTCATCTCTCCCGAATCCGGAAAATCCACAAGCCTCATTACCTTCGACCTCAGAGGTATTGAGTAAGTTCCAGAGGCATTGGGCAGGCCAGGAATGGGCAAACGATGAGGACTCACATGACGAGATCCCAAATAGTTCGACTGCCTCGTCGTCGCCTTTCAAGAAGTAGGGAGCTGTTGTTCGTGTAGAGAACTCGGTGGGCCATTTGTGTGTTTTTTTTTTTTCTGTTCACTGTGTTTCATTTCAATAAGCAACTAAGTCCTTCGGTTCTTTGATAGTTCTTTGCTAGTCGGAATTTGTAGGATAGTTGCGTGTAGTTCTGTGTTTCCATTACGAACATGTGTAATCGTAGCGTCGTTGGGGTTGAGGCTTTGGTCTCCCCTAACCCATCTGCTCCAATAAATATGACACCGGTTCCACCAGCTCCAAAATTTTATGTGTTACCAAATTCCTTTCATTGTTGTCCGTCATTGTATTAAATATGTTCAGCTATGTGGCTCACTCCAACAAGGGGTTGATAACTTTTTAAAGATAACCATCCACTTATGACTATGACTAGCTGATAAAAGCACATGTGTATGATTTATTCATTTGTCATGCATATGTACAACAACACACACTTATGACTCACTCCAATAAGTACGTGGAATACAATTTCTCCAACACTCACCTGTTATAATTAACACATTCTACCTTATTATTAATTCCATCAACCAGCTTTGTGAAAGAAAATATTCAAGTGCATGGCAATTCTTATTTTGAACATAAAAAGCGCGAACACCTTAGATGAAACAAACACTTCGACAATTCAAATAAGTTCACCTGATTCTTTCTTCCAATGTCAGAACAAATTGTCCAAAACCAAACATAAGCATAATAGTTAAATACAACGACACCTCGTTGTCCATATTAAACCTTAGTCTTAGATGCTAAAGTAGATTAGTTCAATACATCCATTGCTACAGACTTTACATAATAACTCTAAAAGTTATCAAATCTTTGGGGATGAGCCTGAATATGGCCACAGATCCTTCTTCAAACCCACTGTTGTCCACAAAAGCTCTCATTGTGCCATTCTGCAGAAGTTTTTTACCATGTCCATGAATAATGTCAGCCTCGTACCTAGCACCAGCCATTAGAATGATAGCTTTATTGTTGTCACTGTAATTCCCTTCGATACGAGTCCTCCAAAAATCCATTGGAATTGTCTGAATAAGAAAAACAAACTGATGTTTAGTAAACAAATATCTAGTGTAATAGGATAATAATTTCTGCTTGAATTATTCCTTACCAAGCGTGCACGTTCAATGTGAGTGCGTGCAATGTCCAAAGTAAAGAGATATTGAGGATCCCTTGCAATGGCACTCTCAGTATGCACCCAAACCTTAAAGTCAAATAAGCTTTTGCGGTCGAAAATCAAGATGTACCCGGTGCGAATATCTTCAAACCTAACAAAATCCACCCATCCATCCGCCAAGAATATGTAATCACCTATCTGACTCATCGTGACATGATAGGTATGTCCTTCAAAAGTTTTTAGAACGCAACGATGTGGGACATAACGTTGGTATTCGCTTTGCAGCGCGGGTGGGATTCGCTAGCGGTGAATAAGCAAAAGATTGTTTCGTTAGGTTTGTATAGAAATCGTGGATTAATGGAAGAACATAGTATGAAGATTGTATAAAAAAATATGAATATGAACTCACCAGTTTGGGCTCTTCTGCGTCAAGAATAATTTTAAAGAAATTTTTTAGTCTGCCAGCCATTAGATTGTACCTATGCAAAATTCAACAAGTGTAAATTCATAAACAATGCTTCTAAACCAAGATTCTTTAACATGCACCCAGTGAAACACAATATTATACATCTAACGAAAGACTTTGTAGATTTAAGTCAATTCATCAGGCCTTATGAATTTAAATTTCAGACCCACAATCTTAGAATGTGAAGGAACCATTAACTAGCATCACACAAATTCGATACGAAAAAAAGGTCCTAAATACACAGCTACAGAATTCAATTGAAAACTAAAGTTCGATGAAAACATTCAACACAAACATTCACCCACAATTGACTAATACACACGACACCATAAAAAATAAACAAAAAAAAAAAAAAAAAAAAAAAAAGAATCCAGATCTAAGTACAGAGGCGAGACATTGTTAACTTACTTACTGTGACCAAGGTCCGGGGAGCGGTGATTGGCGCAGGCGGCTCACGGCGAAATGGTGAGTGTGTGAGTGACGGACGAGGCGAAGTTTCCTAAAAAATAGGGTTGTTTCGTTAGATGTGTGTTAAATGATGTAAAGCCTCCTTTGTGTTTAATTTTATGACTTTTGGAATCTAGTATGAGTGACCACCACCGAGCCTAACCGTGCAATTTGATGCGGTTGTAATTTTTTTTAAACTAAAACACTTCGATGCGGTTGTAATTTTTTTTAAACTAAAGCACTTCGATTACATTGTCCAACCGTGCTTTTCGCTACTGTGATTGTATATTTATAATTGTAATTTGTTTCTAATGTTATTTTGTTCTTCAATGTTTTGCACTGTATTTGACAAAAATTGAATTTTACACAACAAAAAAGACCACGTAAAGTTTCAAAAAAATGTAACATACGTAAAGCTAACAAAATACTAAATAATACAAATTCAAGTCAAGGAGTTAGCAACATACTAGAATATCCTAATGTCAACTAAGGGAGCTATAAATTGGTATGTAATTTTGAGCAAACCTATAACAAGAAGAAAGCCAATTATAAGACTACTTGTTTAACACCAATTATAAATTCCACCAACCCTTTACTATGATCAGAAAACAATAATATTGAAAAATAAATCAATCCACCAATCATCAATTGTCTACTAAATAAACCGTATATCAACATTACAAGAAGAAAGCCAACATCATAACTGTCTCCAAATTAAACAGATAAACAACCATAGAATGCCAAAACACTCACAAAACAATTTAACTTAAGTTTAGGATAACAAAAGCAACATACGGGTGGTCTCAGTTTGAAGTCCACAAAATTACATGATTTCAATGTTAGTGTTACAAAATCATGCCACAAAAAATAGAATCGTGCATGCATCAAAAACATAATGATCTCGAGAAATACTGCATAACTAAATATGCCCTGCTAATTTCATCTGAACAAATTCTGCTTTTGCACACTCATCCAAGCTGAAGAACAAGTCTAGCTCATCCGTGTTCTTCACAAGTATCTTCGATATGAAAAGTTGTTCCCTTAAGTTCAAACCCTCAATGCCGCGAACCATAGCAAACACATCCTTTCGAGCTTTCGACACATCATACTCATAACCGATTCGTTATGCAATTTCACATAACCGAGCACTTGTATTTTCAGAGAAGCTTCTCATTACATCACATAAAGGATCCGCAGATTCAATGGATTTCCGTTTCCGACCGCTACTACTCTTACCTCCATTTGAGGAAGGTGGGTTGCTTTCGGACATTGTTTCTGGAACATGTTCATCTTGGTCAAGTCCAAATGCATCAGTTGGTTGTGGTTCTGGGCTATGTGACATAACAGGAGTTCCAATGTTGACATTACTGACCGCATCAAGAATGTCCTCAGCTTGTTCGCCCGTCGCCCGATCTTTTCCAAAAATGTGGATCCAGTCATAGTAGTATGTCCAGCTTTTATATCGCATTAAGCGAGCATTTGCATCAACCTGTAAGACGACTATTTAATAAATGGAAATATACCAAGTACAAAGGCCATGTATGGAAAACTTAAAATTGGTTACCTTTACATATTCAGACCATGCCTCATCTGTTGTCTCAATCATCATTGTGCTTTCATTCCAACCAATACCAGACCTTGCAAGCATTGTACACAGGCTCGCATAGTCTTTCTTCCACACATGAATCTTGGAGTTAATGTGTGGCACTCCACGCAAATCAGTTTCTGGCAATTGTTTTCTCAGTTCCTGTTCTAGAACGTTCAAAAACCCCATTTTGAATCCATTATCTGCTTTCCAGCCAGTAGTCACAATTCCTTTCAAAGCCCCAATTAGAACTTCTTCCTCTTGCCTGCTCCAACTTCTCCTACCTCTGTCTGCCCTTGGCTTTCTCACTTTTTGTACTCCTCGACCAATGGATTCCATTCTTAAAGTCACCCACAACAAACAATTCCAACTGAAAAATGTTACCTGGAAATAATTTATATAAATGTTGCACCAAAAATAACAACCCTTATACCATGCGAATTCAGAGTTTGACAAACATATGGGACACAAATTTAGACATCTCAAATAAGTTCAGCAATCAACCAAAACCTCAAATTGCATATAAGAAGTGCAGAACATGCATAATCAAGATAAATATTAAATTACATGTCTCCAAATTAAAGTCACATATCATCTAATACATCTCCATTCGTTGAACATTTCACTAGCAAGCTTGTCCCTCCACTCCGACCATTCGTTTGAGGTCTCTACAACATCAATTAAGAGAGGATCATCCGCATCACCATTAGTAGTGTCGACTGATTCCTCGTCATTTGCCTCCAACGGGTCACTAGGTAGTTCAAGTCGGATGAAATTATGAAGGAGAACGCATGCCATGATTAGTCTATTCTGAGTTTTGATGTCGTAGAAACTCGGACTACGAAGGATCGCCCATTTTTTTTTTAAAATACCAAAACTACGTTCCACAACATTTCGTGCTTTAGAATGACACATATTGAAAAATTCCTCCGGTGTCTGAGGTGATAATCTACCAGCTCCCCAATCTTTTAAGTGATATCTTACTCCCTTGTAAGGGATTAGAAACCCATCTCCATTTGTATAACCGTTATCACAAAGATAGTAACTTCCTGTTATTAAAACAAGTTATTTAATTTAAGTATGCACTTAACTTTGACATATATCTTAATAGCAAAATTTCACTATGTTGAATCTAAATTACCTCGTGGAATTTTTAAACCATTTGGTCGGGCTACCGCATCCCGTAACACCCGACAATCTGCGGCAGAACCTTCCCACCCACATAGAACATAGACAAAATTTAAATTGTGATCTACAACTCCTAGTACATTTACAGCAACTTGACCCTTCCTTGTTCGATATCTTGGCTTATCTACCTCAGGTACTGTTACTTCAATGTAAGTTCCATCTAGAGCACCTAGACACCCCTAAACAGTTGAAATAATATATTAATTTGTGTGGTTTGTGTTAACTAGTTACAAAGTTATTTGAAATTAAATAAAATGGTGTCTTTAATGTACCTTGAACCACTTCCATCTGTTGTCCACGTTATTATCAACGGGTTCCGGTTTAACAAGCAGAATTGAATGAAGACGCAAAACAGCAACTAGAACCTCATGTAAGTAAATGCTTACTGTGTGGCTGGACCTCTTGAAATCAAACTTAACTACTCTCAATTTTTTGTGGTGGGCAATAACTGAAAGGAAGAGTGCCACCTTCTCGCTTACTGAAACATATTTAGAATCACACAAGCCTCCGGCACTAGAAAGTATGTAACACAGCCTCGAAAAAGCTCCTTTGGTCATTCGCAAATTCTCCAAGCATTCCATCTCATTAAGTGCCACCAAATTGTTCAAATGCTCAATTTGCTTAGGGATTCTATTTACCATCACGTATCAAACTCTTCTCTCAATATAATTAGTAAACGGTCTACGGCTCTGCCTTCGCATCTTAACGACCATATTCATAAAAAATTCTGACTCGTTCATAATTTCCTCTACGACAAGAAATATTTCGGCTTTTGTTTTGGAAATCTGGGCCATTCTCAAATAGTTCTTGGGTATTTAGCTATGACACAAAGCAAAAATGGAAGAATAAAAAAAAGAAAAAAAATAAAAAACAAACCAAAAGGGAGATATCAATAACAGTAATTAACAAGCCATGAATGTATAAACTATGTTTCGGCTAGAAATCATAATAGCATACCCAGAAGCATGAAAAAAATATGTAGTGGAAGGAAATAGATATCATGTTCGAACCTCTAAATTAAGTCCTTGTTGTATGTCAAGAAAGGACAATCCACGGTCTGTAGCCACCCAAATCACATGTAAACATGAATCTGTGAATGTGACGGGTTAAAGTTTCAGATCCATAACTCAAATAGCAAAAAAAATAATAATAATAATAATAAACTATATAGTGAATAATTGCACGAAATAAATTAATATTGGTACTTACATTTCGTTAAATGCGAGAATAAGGGTAACTGATGACAAAAGATTGTATCTTGCAAACATTGAACATAAAAGTAAATTAGGGTTCTAAAATAATGGTGGAAAAGGGGTGAAATTATGTCGAATTTAGGGTTCGACGCAAACAAAATTTGAAGGGAAATCCTCGACTACGGGACAATATTACCTTGTGGAGAAAACTGATTGCCAAAATTAGGATGATTCCATGGAGAAATTTTATCTGCAGTCGCCAAGCTTCGTGCGGTCGAGCGCGGCAGGTGAAATGAGAGCAAATGAAGACCTAAAATTAGATTTCGAGGATATTTTAGTAATAACAATTTTGAAGGATATGGGCTCATTATTGTATCAGGGGAAAAATGTGGGATATGGGCATAATAAAAGGGGGTATTGGGCAGCGGGTTTTAGCCTTTTCAAAGGCTATCATTCCTCCAACCAAACAAGTTAAACCCATTGAATTTATATTTATTGGGCTGATATCATGCACAATAAGCCCAACCAAACACTCCCTTAGTCTATTACCTTAAATTAATCCCCCTATATATAATTGAAAAATGTGTTGAGTCTAAGTGGCAATCCCACGTGCTTCGTAATCCTACTTGGCAAAAAAATATGATTCGTAGTTTGGTTTGGATAAAAAATAAAGGTTCGAACATTCCAAAATTATTGAAAAACTAACTTTGTAATTTCATAATAGTTAGACTAATATAACCTTTAAGTTGTATTGGAACCTTTGGTAATGATATTGATTGACTAATATAACTTTGATTTGTTTTAGAAGCTCTCAATCGACATAAGAACAAGTTTTACCCCGTGCATTTGTACGAAAAGTGATATAATAGAAGAGAAAGTAACTAAAAATATAAAATAAAATAAAAATCATAACTTTATAAATGAGAAGAAAAATAATTTAAAAAAGTGAACCTAAATATTATTAAACACTTCTTTATAAACAACATTCGTGATTTTCTTATATGTCAAAATCACCATCACAACAAATCATTATCGTTAAACATCTTCAACTCGTGACTCTGAAATTTGATTTTTCAAAATATTTGATTTATCTTTGTAATATCTGAAAAAAAATATTTTTCTATAATTGTATGACTGCAATAGAAATAGAGATATTTGTAGTCATTCTAATTAGTTGTGAAATATGTATTTATATAATACCAAAAAAATATATAATATCAAAGTAAAAACAAAAATATTTTGTATTTAATAACATAAAAATGTGGTACAGAAATGAGCACTATAAATTGGACATGTCAAAATAAATTGTGTAACTGAAAGTTACATATTATTATTAAATGGTGAACATATTTTTAATAAATTAAGACTTATTTTTATTAAATGAACTCCTATGATTATTAATTGCTGCTGAATAAACTTTATTGAACCTTGTAAGCAATTATATATATATATATATATATATATATATATATAATTGATAAATAAATCGTCCAAATTCAATAGGGTGGTTGGAAAACCAATGTGAACAAAAAAAATTCTAAAGGCTTGATTGTTTATGGAATAATTTTGGAATAATTTACTCAACTTTATTTCATACTCAATCTAACTCAACTTTAACTCAATCTCACTATCTTTAATATTATTTATAATTAAATAATACAAACCAATCATTCTTACACATCACATCAACTTTAATTCACTATTCATCCACTCACACAATTTAAACTACCTATCATTTCCAATCATTTTCAATCATTTATCTCCTACTTTTACATCAAATCAATTTTAATCATTTTATTTTAAATATTATTATAATTCATTATTAAAATTCCACTAACAACTAACTATACCACCTTTTTTAAATTAACTATAATTAACCAAAATAACTCATTTTGAACAAATTATTTCATAAACAATCAACCCCATTCTTCATATATAAAACTGAATTAATAAATAAATATTTGTCGAAGATTATATGGATCAAATCCGTTATTTTATAATAAAAATATATGCTAGTATATTTAAATAAACTTAAATAAACAAAGAGGATAAAAGGTTCAATCAACTAATTTGGGATGATATGGCCGTTTGGGCGCATGAAATACAGCCCACACAAAATAAAACAATTTGTATTAAATATTGTTACCTATGCATACACAAAATCTATCATTATTTCGATTGACATATTATTCACTAACTAATGTAAAATTAATGATTTATTAAAATACTAAGACTTGTATACAACATTCATAGCAGTTAAACGAAACGACTTGTTGGTAAGCTGTCGACTATGCTCGACTTGTTAATGCTTGAGCTTAATCGAGCAAAGCTCCAAATTATTTAAAATTTATTTAGTTTCGGCTCATTGTAGCTAAAAAATATAAATATTTTGGTAATTACTAGTGCGTAGCCCGTGCGATGCACGGGTAAAGAACATTAAATAATAATTACAAATTAAAGAAATGAACAAATAATATTAAATAATAATTATAAATTAAAAAATACGAAGAGATAATATATATAATAACTATAATAAAAAAATATGGGTTAACATGTGAGATAATTTATTTATATCACTTTGTTGTAAATAATATAAAACTATTATGTATAAAAGAATATAAAACATGGACATTTAAAGTGTATTTTTTTTCCCGAAACGATAGAGATACATTTAAAATATTGAAAACACCTAAAATATTATATAACATACGTAAAAGTATCTAAAGTATTCTATATTATTCTTGAAAAAAATAACTAAAATACCATATAACATATATAACAATATTTAAATTATTCTATACTCTTCTTGAAAAATAAAAGTATTATTAAAATAAATAAAAAAACAAAAAACAAAATTAAATTAATTTTTAATAATAAATATAATGAAATTAGGTAAATATATTCCAAATAACCAGCATAATGTAACAAAAAAATCAGTATGAAAAATTTAATAAATATGATTTATTTATTAATATTTATTAATTTTTACATCATAATTAATACATGTTTAATAAATAAATTATGTATAAATTTTTATAAATAAAAGTGGTATAATAATTATGTTTATACTACTTTTAGTTGTAAAAACTTACACATATTTTATTTATTAAATATGGATTAATTACAAAATGAAAATCATAAAATTAAATAAATAAAAAAATAATAATATATTATTTAATATATTTATTTATTTAATATATAATATATATTTAATATATAATATATATTTAATATATATATATATATATAATATCATTTAATATATTTGTTGATTTATTACATATATATTATATATAATACATATAAATTTTATTATTGAACATATTTATTTATTTAGTAAATATTTATTTAATATAGAAATAAATCTTAATTAGAATTAATTAGCATAAATCAGTAGAAAAAACAACATAAATGATAATAAAATTTAAATAAAACAAGGTAATTAAATTAGTACAATTAAAATATGTAAAAAAAATTATAATTAAAAGTGGTATTAAATAATAATTCAATTTCTTTTAGTTACAAAATAAAAGTAGGTAAATTAAACAAATTAATAACTAATATTATATTATTTAGTTACCTTGTTTTATTTAACTTTTATTATTATTTAACATATTTAAATAAATATATTAGTAATAAATAGATTAATTAAACAATATATTAAATATATATATTAAATAAAAGATGTTGAATNACACGAAGGCGGGCTCCAGTCGTTTAAAAATAAATTACAACGAATTTTTTTCGTCAAAAGAATTTCATCATAATATGTATTAATGTGACGAATATAGATATATTATAATTTATCATCACAAAACAAACTATATAATGACGAATATTTCGTAAGCGTTATATTAAATACAAAAAAAACACAACGATTTTTTTCGTCATAATATGTGTTAATGTGACAAATTTAGATGTATTATAACGCATCGTCACAAAATAAAGTTATATAATGACGACTTATACGTGAGAGTCATTTCAAATAAAAAAAAAACAATTTTTTTTTTGTGTCATAATATGTATTAATGTGACGAATTTAGATGTATTATAAGGAATCGTCACGAAACAAAATTATAAAATGACGAATTATATCTGAGCGTCATTTTAAATACAATAAAAACACAACGATTTGATTCGTCGTAGTGAATTTCATCATAATATGTATTAATGTGACGAATTTAGATGTATTATAATTTACCGTCACGAAACAAAATTATATAATGACGATTTTTTTGTAAGCGTCATTTTAAATACAACGATTTTATTTTCGTCGTAGTGAATTTCGTCATAATATGTATTCATATGACGAATTTAGATAAATTATAACTTATCGTCACAAAACAAAATTATAGAATGACGAATCTTTTGTAAGCGTCATTTTAAATAATTAAAAAAAACAACGATATTTATTTCGTCGCACTGAATTTCGTCATAATATCTATTAATATGACGAATTTAGATGTATTATAATGTATCGTCACAATAAATAATTATATAATGGCGAATTAGTCGTAAGTGTCATTTTAAATAATATCAACAATGACGAAATTGTGTTTGTCACATTTAATTTCGTCACATTTTATATACATGTGACGAATTTAGATGTATAGGTGACGAATTGAGGTACATTGTCATGAAAAATACAATGATGTGACGAAAAGTAAATTCTAAGATGACGAATGTAGAAGTCGTCGCCGTATACAATGATGTAATGACGATTTCTTACATTCGTCACCATAGGTCAACATACGGTGATGATTCTTTTTTTGTCATAGAAATTTCGTCACTTTTTGGCAGATTTCTTGTAGTGAAACCTTCACCTTGCAGCTAGTCTCCGAACAGGTGCACGCACGCCTTCCAGCGTCCCTCTTATTCAGCGCCAGTGTGAGTGTCATCTTTCGGGTGACAGTGCATTACGCTTCAAACCGACTATGTTATTTAGGGTCTTGTGTATTGATAGATGAGTAGGGTGTGAGAAATTCCTTACCATGGAGAGGTATGCTGGTAACGATGGTTATCTAGCGACAACCCTATTGGTACCTTGCGAGGTGGCTGGTACGGGTAGAGGTGGA